CCCCTTTTCAACTCGGTAGGAAAAACCAAATAAAATAAACAACAATTCAAAGTATGTAAAAACTCACAGAGAGCATGATAAAACCACTGACTACTACTCTGCAACAAACTCTCCCAAACTCTTAATGCAGAAAAATCCTAAAACAATTACGTAAGAAAAGTATTTTCAAAAAAGAATTTAACAAAATTTCTTTACTCACAGAGCTTTTTCCAAGAGAATCAAGCATCTTGAAATTAATGAAAATCAATTATTCATCGAGTTAAATAATTCAAATATACAGAAACGCATCTTTTGAACTAACTTTTAAACCAGCCAGCAAAGATAGATACCAAAAGAGATAACAATCAGATATGGTAGGCTTTGAATTGGTTGATTGACAAAAAAGTAAATTTGCTGGGCTCTAATTTGGTTGGTTGTCAAAAATGTGTAAGATGTTCAGGATGTGTGTGGAAAAGATGTAAACTATTATATGAGTGTTATGATATAATCTTCACAACAAGACCACTAACATGGTGACTTTGAAATCATATTGTTGTGTGGTGGATTTGGAATTAGAAGTAGCAAGACGGTTACTGTATTTGTGATGAATATAAGTTCTTAAGAAATTAAAGGGGTAGTATTCATGATCTAAACAACATTGAAAATTTTTTATATTATTAAATTTATCTATTTTGTGGGTAGTTAAGTTATCATTTCTAAATAAAAAAATCAAAATGATATTTCTGTAAATTGATAAATGCAAGTTACTATTCCATTCAGGAATTTTAATTATATGGAATTTAAAAGAATCTCTTTTGTCAAAAATGTTACTGACTACATTATTGTTAATAAGATGCAAGTCTAAGTCCAAGAATTCTACCATATTAGAGTTAAAGTTAGTTTTAAGGAGGTTGAGATAGTCAGGGTAGAACGTAATATTTGGTTTGTATTCACTATTTTTACCAAAAATTATTAAATCATCTATATAACAATAAATAAAGTAAGAATCCTTTACAACATGATCAATTTCAAAAAAATATAAATATAGGTTCGCTAAAAATTTACTAGCTGGACCACCCTGAGGTAATCCTTTGATCTGTTTATAAAGATTCTGATCAAATGCAATTAAATTTTTTTTTAATACGAGGTTAACAGGAATGTCAAATTTTTCTTTTTTCATTGAAGTATATAATTCATATTTATCATAATTAATTGTAGAACCTTAATCATATCGTCAATATCTATAGAATTAAAAAGGTCCTCGAAATCAGAGCCATGCATGGAAAAAATTAACATATCCTTAGTAACTCTAGCAATCTCTAAGCTATTTATAATTATTGCCGTGTTTTGTAAGTTATCAATTAGATTTTGAAGAAGAGATTGTAAGATCTTTTCAGACTTCGTGATGTATGTATTGTACCCATTAGTGATACTACGGAATTTTATAGGGCTTTTATGAAATTTTGGTGTTAAAAAATACTTGGATATTTAATATTATTTAGATGAATATTCAGTCTTTTGTTCAAAGCTGTGCTATTATTGTGAATTGATTTTTGAAATGAATTATTATTTAAAATGTGATTACTTAATATTTTACTGTAAAAATATTTGCTCTATTAATGTGAATTGATTTTTGAAATGAATTATTATTTAAAATGTGATTACTTAATATTTTACTGTAAAAATATTTACAGATTATGGCATAATTAGCAGAGATCTTATCAACATAAGTAATCCCAAAGTCATTTTAGATATTTTCTATTGATGATTTAAGATCTTTATACATAATTTCATTTTCAACACTGAAATCTAATTCCTGAATTTCTGTTGCTACATAAGATCTAAATTGATTGAAAGCTTCAATCAGCATCCCATATTTTTTTGCAATTTTATGGTAGAATTTATCTAAATCCCTTATGATTTGTTTCATAACGTTAAATTTATTTTTTGTGATCATCAGTCTAAAACCGGTACCTTTTTTCATAAAGTTTCTCAACAAATCATTTTTCACGATGCCAAGGTCTCCCGTGACAACGTGCTGATGATAATCATCAACATAGTCCCGATATAAATTGCATTTACATGATTCTGTACTTAGGAGCTCCGAGACTTGATTATAATTAAATGTAAATCTACCAAGTTTCTTGTTGTATTTGAAAGCCTTTTTAATAACAATATTTTTAATAGGAAAAAAGGACTGACATTTTTTAAATATACCTGAAAAATTAATTTTGTTAAAGGATTTATTTATAAATAATAATGTACAATATTCTGTAGTGTAATTTTCACTTGCATCTAATTTAATATTCTTTTTTTGTACTAAATAGTTATTAAGGTCTCGAATCATATGCATACCATGAGAATCCCGAAAATTACATCTGCTTAAAATATCTGTCATAATTTTAATTTCAGTTTTATTCATGCCAAATATATACGATTGAATTATGCCTGTGTTGTAGTTATCATCAAATTTATCAGCTAATTCTAACATAGATTTCTTGAGGGTTGTCATGTCTCTAGCAACTCTTTTTCTACGTTTATCTCTTGAAATTCTCGCAATACCAATATTATTACTATTACCAATAGATTCATCAAAATTCGGAATATATAATGAGTCCTCGGATTTTTGTTTAAAAGATAGTAAGATATTTTCACCATTCCATTTAACATTCAAACCATAAGGATAATATGATCTGAATGAACCTATACAAAAGTTTTCGAACCATAATCTTTGTTTAATTTTAGGCACTATTTTAAGTATATGTACAGTTATGTTATTGAATCCATGTTTATTAAAGTGTCCTATTTCAATCTTAGCCTGGTTTTTGTTGCAATCAAATCTCCTAGTATCAGACCTATATATATATATATATATATATATATATATATATATATATATATATATATATATATATCAGTAAATAAATTAAAATGAAGACAAATAAATCCTAAAACATCTTAAGATCAAACCGAAAGAAAAAAGAACACGGAGCCATGACAAACCAAAAAAGAGAAATTTAGCTAGAATGGAAAAAACTATTATGATTTCCCGAGCTGTCACTGGTTTAGGACAGTGAAACAGGGTTAAACAGTGTTTTGTGAGATCTCAATCTTCCCCTACAGTGGAAATTTTCGACACAATAGCATAGGAGATAAACCAAGGCGAAGGCTCAAAACCGACGTGGGTGAATATAACAGCAATAGAATAGAATTGGAATATAAATTTACTATATATATCTAGTGAAAATTTAAAAATAATACAGCATATAAGACGAAAGTTCAAACTTTGGTTTTATTGTCAATAAACTTTTTACAGGTTCAATATGTAACATAAAAATAAATAACTTGAAACAACTCTAGATAATTATTAACTTAACTCTAAATAATCATTAAATAGTCAGCGCTTGATAAGCTAATTCAACGCTTTACTAATTCATAAATTTGTAATTTTTGCTATCAAGTCGTTTATATTGAGATTAGCCCTTAAAGATAAGAGCCTTTAGATACATATCAGCTAATTTTAAACGATATTTTTATGTTCAAAATAGAAACATTTATCCACAAACTTAATTTAATCCAAGTTTTGAAGGGGTTGGGGATTGTCTGAGACAATCACATTTCAATAAAATTGCAAACAAAATTGTTATTCATTATTATATTACATTTTTTTAAATTTTTCAGAAAGTTTTCACGTGTCACGGTTACAACTCCCCCATGCCACACTGGGGCACGCATACCACGGGCTGGCCACCTCTGATTTAAATAATAACAAGGTTACAATAAGTCTGTAAAATTCCCTCTATGTATAGAAGTAAAAGCATGCAATTCTTTACGAACATTTACAGAATAAGTTAGTTCCAAAATCATTAAGAAGCTGGTAGAGTGACGATTAATTTTTCAAACATCTCCAATTAAAAAACATCACTCGACACAACTATTACTTAAAAAGCGTTGACGTCTCCTGCAACTTTCGTCATACTCTCCCTGTTCGAAATCAGAAGTCGATTCATCCCACCGCCCCGGCCGAAATCATTTGTTTTCATTAGGCGGAGCTTGTTAGGTTAGATTGGCCCATCTGGAAGTCATCCGAAATGAGAGCCCCCACCGGCAGAACAGTGAAACAAATGAATGTTTTAGCGCCCAATGAAGGCGTTTCATTACCCGCGTCTTAATTGGACCAGACAAGTCAATTTTTCAATCTCCAACCTCTTCATAGGAAAGTTTCTGGTAGTTTAAAAAGAAGACGTGGGCCTGGGAAAAATTTTCGCAATAAGAGTGACCTGGAACTTAAACATTGTATCTTTGTGTTCATTAGAGGTATGGTAAAGAATGTGAAATAGATTAGTTGAGTTTAATGTTGGAACTCTCCTGGTGTTATTATTCATTAATCTAAAATGGTAAAACACAAATACAGAGAAATACATTTAACGCGAAAACGCTTCGGACGAAATATCGGTTAACACGAAATAAAATTCAGCGATCCCGCTAAACTATGTATTTTTCAATTCCTACTATTAGTTCACTATCTCCCTACACACACATATTGCTAAATTTTCAATCGTTAATAAAATACTATTCATCCATTTAAGTTGAAATACATTTTTTAAACTTGTAGTAGATGACACTTGATGTTAATACAGCTTTTTCAAACATAAATTCATTAATTAAATTTAAAAAAATGAATAAATGGTAACAAAAATAATAGTCCAACACATTAGAGCACACAGGAATTTTTCAAGGGAGGGGGTCGAGGTTGAAAGTTCACCATTCTTGTATCATGCTATTTTTGATTTTGTCAATTTTCAGGAACAAAACACAGTAAAAAACTAATTATTGAATAAATAATTAGGATTAATTAATAAAATTAATCATTAATAACAAATATTTAATTAAATTTTACGTAGAATTATAATCAATCGGGAAAAAATCAAGGGCTTTGGGGAGGGATCCGAACCCCCAGCCTCCCCCTTGTGTGCGCCACTGGTCGAACAGCATATATAAAAAGGAAAACCGTTCACTGAGTCCCTGTAGCGCAATGCATAGCGCGTTGGGTTTCTGATCCAAAGGTCGTGGGCTTGAGTCTCACCTGGGATGGCCTAGTTTTTGAGAGACTAGGCCTTTAACTATACTATTTTATTATAGTTAATTAACTTTTACAATACTATTCTACTAGAATAACTAAATTTAATGAATGAATATATAGAAAGAAAAACAAACAAAAATAATCCAACACTATAAATAGAAAAGAAAATGGAAAATCGCTTTCTACTTTGCCACTTATATTATGATTGTCATAAGCATATACATATTTCCATTAATTGTAACTATTTAATAGGAAGTAACTAAAATAAAAAATTTTCTTTTTAAACCTGAGTAGAGGAATATAGACTTAATTTTGTTTATATATATAACTTGTTTTCTTTTAACACTAAACGACAATCGCTTAACACGAAAATCTCCCTTCTAGGAATGAACAAATTACAGTAAACACCAACCACGCAGGTTCATCATCTGAAAAATTCATTACAGTAGATCATGACGATAACACGTGTACAGCCTCAATTATGGCAGACAAAGGCATTTTGGAGTTTGTTGAAAGCACATAAAATATCATTGATGCAGACTCCGAAGAGGAAAATGAGATGAATAATGCAACTACTGCGTTAATCGGAAATGTGGAACGTCATGAAAAGTATGCTCACACACACACACACTACGCACAACTCCAATGGTGTAATGGACGACATCGAACGATTTGTTGTCAATTTGACGCTAAAAAAAGACAATGCAAAGAAAGATATCAGATTGTTTTTCCAAAAACTCAATAAATGTTTTATTTTTCAAAAAAACTTGAAAATTTTGTATTAAACTTCATTAAGTTCTTGTGAATGTTTTTGTTTCATGGATTTTTATTTAATACATGTATATATACATATCCATGTAAATAAAATGTACTCTAATAAACTTAATTTTTTGTTGAATTCATTTATATATATATATATTTGCAATTTCCTTTAACTGGAAATTCTTTGTACACGAAAAAGTATGTCAGTCCCATCAGTTTCGTGTTAAGCAATTTTTACTGCATATGAATTTTATACTTGGAAAAACAATAAATATAAAGGCATTTGCAGAATATATTGATATTATAGTTGAGAATATGGTTCTTTGTAGTGGCCGCTGTAGCCTAGTGGTCAATGTAATGGACTCGTGTCGGCGTGTCATGAGTTCGAGCTTAGTACCTCTGAAGACCCACCGTGCAGAAAGGGCCAAAGCACATTAAATATGTCGAAGCTCAAACGTCCTCCCGTGGGTGTGTAGTGGAAACTAGGCAAGGGAGGGTGATTCAACCCTCTACATTCTCTAGATTTAAAGTTTGGATGATGAATCGGCTAATAATTACTCAAAATTTATTTCCTTATAGAATGATATAAAAATCCTTTTGTTTAAATGTTTTTGTTGTCATGTGTTTATTACTGGGATACATACGAAAGACGGGAGATATAGATGTGAACAGAAACATATCACACACACACAACACAATCATAGAATACAGATTTTGTTACAAACGATGATCCCAGCATATAACAAGATGAGGTGCGCTGCTTTCCTTTCGAGACGGGAATCCATTTCAGGCGAAAGTCCGATTTCGTTTCACGAAGTTACATCAATGCCTAAATCGGGATTTGAACCCGAGCCCATTCGATTACAAGCCGAGTGTCATAACCTCCATACTGGGTGGGGCAGCTTTTGTTTAAATAACTGAAATGTTATAACTATTTACATTGTCTGCTGATCAAAATCTTATTAAATTCTCAAATTAACAGGTGGAATGTTGTATATTAATGTCACATCCTAGAGGTGCGTGGACGTCGAAATTCCGAACTACAGTCAAGTGACAAGGACCTCATCTGAACTGGCATCCAACTCTAAACTTCTACACTAAGCCAACGTGAAGGCTTTGAGCGTGCCTTTCCTCCTCTACACAACATCCAATAGCCAAAATCAAAGTACTAAAAAAAACACAAAGGTTAAAAAAAAACTTATTTATTTGAATCTAAGCCTCCGTTGATTATAAGGCGCATAAAATAAGGTTTTATTGCCATATTTCCCCAAAATACGGTAATAGTACTTGTTAAACGCTTGCGATTAACTCAAAAATATGAAAAAAGATATATTTTATCTGTATATACAGAAATTGCATAAGTTATATGCTTAAGAGGAAATCTAAGTTACAGTATCCATGATATGAACTAATTTAACTTAACGTAGAATCCAGCGTACGAGTATAACGCGCATTTTAAAACAAAAAACAAGTAAAATAAAAAAAAATTAAGTCAATTCCTACTTAGATCAACAAAGAAAAAATTTATTGTAGATACTTTTTATTAAATAGTTACAATTAACATATATATATATATATATATATATATATATATATATACGTATGATAGAATCACGACATTAAGTGGTAATTAATTTTTATTAATTATCATTAAAGTATCGTATTGTTATCTGAAACAATGGTGTGTATAAAATTTCAGTTTAACTGAATGCTTTAAGGTAGTGATCCGCAACCCCCAGTCCATGAATCAAATGGTGCCGGGCCACCTAAAAAACATTAAAGTATAGCCATTTTATTTAAATTGGTGCATTTCTCTCGGATTTGTGCAACTTTTCACGATTTATATTCCACGTTAAATCACTCCTATTCATTTTGGTGTAACTATATTTTATTCTGAACTCATATTTAAATGTAACTAAATTAAAATTGCTATTTCAAAACAATCTAAAATATAAACGATCAACGTGTCCCACCCTCAGCGGGCCGCGGTAAAATATTCAAATGTTGACCGGTCCGCAGCGATAAAATGGTTGCGGAACACTGCTTTAAAACGGGAGAAAAACAACCTGTTCAAGTTTTGACACAAGTCGCGCCAAAAGGGTCACTAAGTCGCCAAAAATGATGCCAACGTGGCTGTATTTGTAATTCTTTAAATAATTAGTTTTAATCAATTAATTTTAAGTAATTATAATTAAATTACTGTATTGTCATCCAAAATAATCATGTATATAAAATTTCAGCTCGATTGAGCGCTTTAAAATGCATTTTATTAACAATTGAAAATTCCACCAATATAAATAAATAAATAAATAGAGATTGTGAGCTAATAGTAGGAATTGAAAAATTAACTTCAAAAATAAAAAATAAAAATATGATGAGTATAAAAAAAAAATTAGACTTCCACATGGAGCGAAAAACTGTTTATGTAAAAGAAATGACATTCGCAATGAACTTAAAGGATTCTAGTTCTGTTAGTAAATTATTCTTTTCAAAAGCCGGCAATAATACCTTGGATAAATGACTTCAAAACATAAGAGCACACGTACATTTCACGTTATTTCGTAAAAAGAGGGTGCACCACATTATACGTTGGATATACCAACAAATTAAAAAGTGCAGCTTGAAAGTCTAGGTGTGCGTTATACGCCGGATTTTATTGTATGCACGTTTTGCTTTTTATCCTTACTTGGTTAAAATAAGATATTTTTTTACGAATAGTGAGAATCCTAACAACATTTCATGCAGTGCTATCAATTATTCCAACTACTTTACTTCTTACAATGTGTGAAACAAGTTACATAATCAAATTAAGCCAAACTAATTGAGCTGGTGACTACTAATTAGATCGATTCATTAATTACATTAACTAATTAAATGCAATTTGTGTTGTACTTGAGCCTCGAGAGTGGTATGGGGGAAAAAAGCAATTTTATTATGTTTTAGAGCATGAGAGTTGTTCTGAAATGTTTAGAAGTATAGAGAGAAATCCATGGTTGTTTTTCATAAGAGATTTGAATTGCAGAAAATCGAAATATATAACATCTTATACAACATTCTACCCATTTAAATAGTTACATATTTTTCGCACTGTTTTCAGATTTGTTACCTAGAGTTTATGGTGGCCGTGGTAGTCTAGTGGTTAAGTTCATGGACTCGTGGCCAGAGTGTTTTGAGTTCGAGTCAAGTGCCACTAAAGACCCACTGTGTAGAGGGGCTGAAGCACGATAAATCTTTCGTGGCTCAAGGTTCTCTCATTGGCTTGGCATTGAAGATCGGAGAGGGAGTGCAGCTCAGGTGTTGTACTCGTAACACTTAACCATGTTTCAAAATTACGCGATTCCCATTGCCAACAGCCCACGTATTGCTTTATACTGCATGGTTAATACACACTAATTCAACGCAAGTTTCTGAACATATTTCTGAAGAAATCTAATTATTTTACAACAGAAACTCAAGATGATTAGGATAATTTTTTTCCCTTCAAATTCTACCTAGTTTTATTTAGGGAATTTATTCAATGAATTTCAAATAAACGTAAGAAAGTATTTTCGATTACATTGCGAAAAAATATGTACCAAATATGTTCAAAAAGTGTATACCGATGCATTAAAATATAGCTGCATAAGCGCGAGCAAGATTGAGAAGTATACATAGCATTAGATTAAAAATTTATTGTCGAGTTCATTTTTACTACAGGTGTGTAGAAAAAAAAATCAACCGAACCTCAATAATCCAGAGTAATAGAAGCTCTAGATCAGCGATACTTAAACTGCGGCCCAGCGGGCCTTTTTAAGGGGCCCATAGTTCTGAAAAATTAATTTATTTATGAAAATTTGGTGAGAAATTCTTTGTTAAGAAATAAAATATAATAATTTTGCTTTTTGCTGTCAATGTTGTATGGGCACGAATTGATATATTTTTTTTCCTGATTAATGAGGACAGACAACATTGGACAATTTTATGAGCTGGACTAATTTTTAACTTTCTTTCGAATCTTGTAAGCGAAAAATATTAGAAGAAAATAGGTTGTTTGAAGATGTTTAGGAATATGACTATTTTATAGTGAAAAACAAGCATGGATTAGTAATTGTATTATTTATCACTGTTGTTGTTTGTTTATCCTGTTTATGTATTTAAAAATACCAATAAACAGGTATCACTCGCGTGTTCAATGACACTTTTCCTCGAAGATCTCTTTCAAGAGATGATAAATAGGCTTTATTGAATAATTTTTCTAACAGCAGGAAAG